CTTTTATTTTTCATCCCAGCCTCCTCCTCCCCCTCCTCCTCCTCTCACTCCGACTCTGGACCGGTCACTCCGACCTCTCCCTCCACCTTTTCCACCCTCTCGTCCCCGCTGCCCTCACCCTCCTCCCCCGTTTTCATCCTCCAACCTCCACCCTCCAGAACCTCGTCCCTCCTCTCCCCTGCTGCCACTTCTCCCGTCGCTCCTGCTCCCACCAAGACGAGGACTCGCTCGTTTGGCAACCGCGTCACTCGGCGGCAGCTGTCGTCCTGTACCGTGATTGGTTCTCATGATCTCTGTGATCTCTGTTGCATGGTGTGGACAACAACACTACTAAACTGACCAGGTGACCTGTGGACCAGGTGACCTGTGGACCAGGTGACCTGTGGACCAGGTGACCTGTGGACCAGTAGGTTGTTAAAACTAACAACAACAACAACAACAACACAAGGTGTAGCTGTTGTTGTTGTTGTTGTTGTTGTGTTAATGAATGGACCTTGATGAATGGTCCATCACTGGTCAGACCATGACACTACACCCTCCAGTCCAGTAGGTGGCAGTGTGCTCCTAAAAAGCCACTATCAAACCCAGTCGTCAGGTCCCTCCTTTGGCTGAGAGACGTTCAGGTGTTGGACCAGTTAAACTTTGACCTTTGACACCCCCCCCCCCCCCCTGACTGACTGTGCAGAAACAGGCTGATGGCCAGGCTGCAGTGAGGCACTGACCTTTGACCTCTGACCTCACACAGGTCGTGAACATGTGCACGTGTTTGAATGTGAACGCTTTGGGCAGTGACTGGTGTCTGAGCAGTTAGAGGTCAAATGTCACTGGACCAGGGATTCAGAGAAAGGTTAAAGGTCACGGTTTATTTCATTAGTCACAGAAGTTTCCTGTTGTTGGTTCAACTCCCGTCACGACATGAAACATTTTAATTTAACGTCTGTTTTTTTTCCATCCCTTCACTGTTACCAAGGCGACCTTCTGGACGCCAACACTCTTGGTTTGTTCTCCATGTTTTCTGTTAGTAAGTAGCTCCTCTGTGACCTCTGTGACCTCCTCTGTGACCTCTGTGACCTCCTCCGTGACCTCCTCTGTGACCTCCTCTGTGTCCTCCTCTGTGACCTCCCCTGTGACCTCCTCTGTGACCTCCTCCGTGACCTCCTCTGTGACCTCCTCCGTGACCTCCTCTGTGACCTCCCCTGTGACCTCCTCTGTGCCCTCCTCTGTGACCTCCTCTGTGACCTCTGTGACCTCCTCTGTCTTCCATCTTGTGGTTCTCCTGCTGAGCTTCTCCTGTGTCCATGTGAAAAACTTGTGTCTCGACGTTGTCCTCTCCTGGAGGTCAGGGTGACCTTTAGGGTCAGGTCAGGTCAGGTCAGGTCAGGTCTTTAGAACATTATGGGATGTTAGAGGAGTCCAGAACCAGACTGGGGTCTGGAAGGTCGCAGGTTCAAACCCACTGTGCTGCCCCCGTGTGGTTGTTGGTTTAAATCCCCCTCATCCTGGTGACTCCAGGCACTGGAACTGTTTACAGCTCAGACTCAGTACTAACATCTGGAGCCACGCCCTCCACTGACAACTTCCTGTTTCCTGTCTGAAACTCTGTGAATCCTGCTGTTGTATGTACCTCCCCCAGAACTCCCCCCCCCCCCCCCCCC